GTGTGTGTGAGTGAGAGACAGAAAGAGAGAGAGAGGGCGAGAGAGACAGACATATGAGATGACAGAGAGAGAGAGAGAGAGAGAGAGAAAGAGAGAGAGAGACATATGAGATGACAGAGAGAGAGTGGGGGAGAGAGAGACAGGCAGAGAGAGAGAGAGACAGACAGTGTGTGTGTGAGTGAGAGAGAGAGAGAGACAGACATGTGAGATGACAGCGAGAGAGAGAGAGACAGGCAGAGAGAGAGAGAGACAGACAGTGTGAGTGTGTGTGAGAGAGAGAGAGAGACAGACATATGAGATGACAGAGAGAGAGAGAGAGAGAGAGAGAGAGAGAGAGAGAGAGAGAGAGAGAGAGAGAGAGAGAGTGAGAGAAAGACAGAAAGAGAGAGAGAGGGCGGGAGAGACAGACATATGAGATGACAGAGATAGAGAGAGACAGACAGGCAGAGAGAGAGAGAGAGAGAGAGACAGGCAGAGAGAGAAAGAGAGAGAGACAGACAGTGTGAGTGTGTGTGTGAGAGAGAGAGACAGACATATGAGATGACAGAGAGAGAGAGAGAGAGAGAGAGAGAGAGAGAGACAGGCAGAGAGAGAGAGAGACAGACATATGAGGTGACAGAGAGAGAGAGAGAGACAGAAAGAGAGAGAGGGCGAGAGAAACAGACATATGAGATGACAGAGATAGAGAGAGACAGACAGGCAGAGAGAGAGAGACAGACAGGCAGAGAGAGAGAGAGAGAGTGTGTGAGAGAGAGACAGAAAGAGAGAGAGAGAGAGGGCGAGAGAGACAGACGTATGAGATGACAGACAGAAAATACTGACAATAATAATTATGTGTTTCTTTGACTGAAATGAGGGCTTTACTGATATAACGACATAAAACAAATCATTCTTTTTGTCCATATTTAATTTTCTCTGGTTCTGTAAAGCGACATCTGAATACAGCAGAAAGTTATTTTTTATTTTAATGATTTATTTTCAAAAGCTGAACATGACAAACATTAAATACCGGTTTTGGATAAATACAAGAGTTTTATTTCAAACCAAAATCTTAAAGCGTCACAAGAGAACAGAACTCAATAAAATAGGACTCAAAAGGTAAATTCTCTAAATCTCTGCGTGTTTTAAATGTAGCTTCTTTAAGAATAAGCAATAAAAATAAATACAAGCAGAGAAAAATGCTTCACATCAGTGAAAATTTAAATTGCTTTCTCATGCTAAACGGCAGTGCCACAGACACGTCTGGGTTGAGACAAGCCTGAAAAACAACGAGTAAACTTTTATTCGGATTTAGGTGGTGATGGTGGCACAGGAGCTAAGTGCTCGCCCCGTAATCAAAGGGTTGCAGGTTCGAGCCCCGCTCAGTCTGTCGCTGTGGTTGTGTCCTTGGGCAAGACACTTAACCCCACTTGACTGCTGGTGGTGGTCGGAGGGACCGGTGGCGCCAGTGCTCGGCAGCCTCGCCTCTGTCAGTGCGACCCAGGGCAGCTGTGGCTACATCGTAGCTCATCACCATCAGTGTGTGAATGGGTGTGTGAACGGATGAATTACTGACTGTGTTGTAAAGCGCTTTGGGGGGTTCCAGGACTCTGGAGGGCACTATATCAAATAGAGCTCCGGACCCCACGTGACTCTCAGTTAGTAGACGCCATTTTGGCATGCAAAAAAGGTAAACAAACACGGATGTAACCATGAACATGAACGGGATCCGCTTGGATTTTACTTCGCTGGAGTTTACTTCACACTTTAAAACAGAAGAAATCGTTTTATATAGTCAGAAATTAAATAGACTAAACATCTCCGACCCTTACCGTGTCCCTGGGATACTTTTTAAAAACGCCAGAAGCTGTCGGAGCGGACTTCTTACCGGCACAACACCGGACCTGGCCGGGGGAACCCCGCAACCCAACTCCGGATACGCGGATGAAAATGGATGGATGGACGGACAAATAACAGATTTACACGTAAGTAGTCTCGGTGTGTGATCTGACAATTGATCAACCATTGCTTAAAAATTAAATACAGCTTAGATGCTGTGATCATAAAACACGTAAACGGCAGCACGCAGAAATCACGAGGCAACGTTTTACGTGATGTTTACTTGTTGCTATGAGTAATAAGACAGAAAAAGCCACGCCAAAATAAGTTTAGGAAGCCCACTAAGAATCATAATAAAAGCATTTAAAATAAATACCATACACAGTTGAGGAAACGTTGGTTTAAGTACCTGATAGGAAGCGGTCGCTGCATAAGCGAAAACCTTTACTCTCGGGATCCCACAGTTTCATTTTAACCCGGTCACTAGCGCGTTTTATTACAATGATCCAACGTTTGCGGCGCTCCGGATCTTGGGGAATCCTGTAGATGGCTCATTCCTTATGTCGTCCGCGTCTGTTCTGCATCCTGGGGCACAACAGGAATCTACCATATTTCCCGTTTGGTTGAGTTTTCTGACAATAACAAATAGTCCAGCTGCCGGCTTCTGCCTGCCAATATGGCGCCGTTTCGATTTGAACTGTTGCATGCCGGGAAAAGTGACGTCAACTCCCCGAGCTCTATACAGACCAATTACCATTTAGATGCAGCAGAAAGAGAGGCTTCGTTTGGAGGCGTGTCTATCTGATTGAGGCATGAAGGACTTAAATATTTATTTAACACATTTTAATTTGAACAATGGTTTTGTATGAACAGGAGAAAGGACAGAATAAAGACCAAGGTGGTCATAGATCTTCTGTAGCATGTCCTAAGCCACGCGTTGCCGTGGTAACACACACAAGCAAATAAATATACATCAAAACAATAACAGCCGAGGCAGTGGATTTGAAACCTTCTAAAATATATAAAAATTTCTAAAGATTTCTCTGAAAGCACGTTACGATGCTGGGGTTACACCAGCCGTGCAGGCTGCTCCCGACGTAAAAGCCTGCTTTAAATCAAAGATAATGGTGTAACGAGATGTGCTGTGGAACACTAATATGCTGCGTCAGAATTTATGACATTAGCCATTAGTCATGTAATGAAACAGGCAGAAAATACGGGTAAGTAAACAAACCCTCCCAGTGGGTTAAATTATTAGAGCAGCCATACTGGTTTGTGTCCACGTAGCAAATAAGATCTCAGAAATCTGAATCCGTGCGTTCAGTTACCGCCAAAGACTTTTTAATTAGTGAGATTAATCATCAGAGAAGAAAAAAACAAATACAAAGCTTTCAGTTTATGACCAACACAAAGGTTCTGTCAGGCTTTTCCAGGATTTGGTTCAGGGAATTTTAAGTGCTATAAATAGTCAGTTTTCTGTGAATTTCACTTGAGAATCTGATGTTTTATAGTTGGCGCTTTTCTGGTTTTACTTTTGCACATAGCTTTACCTAAAAGCTACTTTAGGACATTTACTTCAGACTGGATGACAGAGTAAACAGAGAAGCTGGGACAAAAACAAAACAAAATCAAATACATTGATTAGCAGATGTGGTTGGTGTCCATGATCTCGACCAGGACTTCCCCGGGCTGTGGAGGCTAGTTAGAGACGCAGATCTGCAAAAAAGTTTGACTTGTGCAACAAGTGTCAAACACACTTATGCTAATTTATCCTAAAGAGTTTTTAACCGTCATTTTATTTGCAATTTAGTCACCTACCCCTCCCAAAGGTTCAATCACTCATCTTCCTCACCATGTCTAACTAACTCAGTCACCAGGAAAGAGACAAGGCTGGACATGTATCCAGTCCATCACAGGGACACCGTGACACCCTCACTCACACCTAGGGACACATCAGTCTGATTAATCTAACCTGCCTGTTTTCGGTCTGTGGGGAAATAAAAACGGAGAACCAGGAGTAGGGCTGCAACGGTTCGTCGACGTTGTCGCCAAATATCGACAATAGAAATAGTCGACTATGAATTTCATTGTCGACGTCGCCAGACGTGTTTTTTTCCGACCGAGTGAGGCATCTCACTTCATTACAATCTCTGCCGAGAGTCGCACGTGCGCAATAGCTTCTCTGCTGAGCGCCAACTAACAGAAATGGCGGCGTCCGACACCGCAGCTACGTGTACCAAAACATCTAAAGTTTGGGAGCATTCTAGCCGGGACTCGGCGAATAAAAAGATGACCTGCATTATTTGCAAAGCAGTCCTCGCGTATCACGGCAGCACCTCGGTGATGCATGAACACTTAACGAGAAAGCACGTCGGACAGTTGAACGAAACAGAGTCAGATGACCTCGGTAAGATTTAAATTACACGAAAGCCAACACGTTTTGTTTTGGATGTACATTTTTTAAACGTATTTTCACTTTTTAAAAATAGAGATTTAATGTTATGCCCGACTGTGCCTGACAAAAGTATTTAAACTTTATTTATGCATTTATGTCTGTACTGACTGGGCACTGTGCCTAATATGTGTTACACAGCATTTTTATTTACTTTAGTATGAATTGGCCAATCAGCAGCAAAGTTCATTAAAATATGTATTTTCCATTGAAGTACCCATCTTTCTTGTGTTTATTATCAGTTTTCACACAATTAAAGCAATCTCATGCTACATTTAAGAAAAATTTAATAATTATCCGATTAGTCGACTAATCGTTTCAATAGTCTGTGACTAGTCGACTATTAAAATAGTCGTTAGTTGCAGCCCTAACCAGGGGTAAGCCTGCATACGCGCGGAGAAAACATGCTAACTCCACACTGGAATGCCACAGCTGGGATTAGAACCTGCAACCTTCTTCATGAGAGACAAAGTGCTACCATCATACAGCCCCATCCTTAAGTTGTCTCTGAAAACAAAGACTGGAGCCTGAATCCAGAGACTAAAGGACTATTTTGAGTGAGCAGATCCTGGATTCTGGTGAAAGAGTTCAGAAAGGTTTTACGAAGGTAATAAAATCTTCATCATACGTATCTAAACCATGCTCGGTTTGGCCTTCAAACACTCAGATATGCAACAATATAAAAGCTAGATTTCCTTGTTTAGCAGTACGGCGTGGCTTTGGTTCTTACCTCGGCCCCTGTCGGCGTGGTCCCCGGTGAGTCCAGTTTACGTTTCTTTCGTGGTCCGATGGCAGCCAGCGCCGTGAGGTTGGCGTCTCGCTGTCTAATCTCAGCCTGTTCTTGAAGCTGCCACTGAACACAGAAAGATGAACAGATATTCATTAAGACTTTATATTTTGTGTTCTAGGTATAGATTTATGAGCTTGTTGTTCAACGAGCACGGTACCAATTAACCACAACCACACATAAACCCCACAAGCATAAAAAAATGAAGCAGGCCACCTTGTTAAAATGCAAGAACCATAAAAAATTGAAGTTAAGATTATATCTCAATTCAATTCAATTCAAGTTTATTTATATAGCGCCAAATCACGACAAGAGTCGTCTCAAGGCACTTCACATAATAAACATTCCAATTCACAGTTCATTAAGCCAATCAGAAATAATGTTTCCTATATAAGGAACCCAGCAAATTGCATCAAGTCACTGACTAGTGTCAGTGACTATACAGCAATCCTCATACTAAGCAAGCATAAAGCGACAGTGGAGAGGAAAACTCCCTTTTAACAGGAAGAAACCTCCAGAGAATCCCGGCTCAGTATAAGCAGCCATCCTCCACGACTCACTGGGGATCGAGAAGACAGAGCAGACACACACACGCACGCACGCACACACACACACACACACACACACAATAATGTGTCTATAGTTATATTGTGATGACTTAGTAAATATTCTATTTGGTGAGATAAACTTTATTGTATTTATCCTAGTGGATCTCTAATTAAATGGGTAAACTAGCAGTAACACGTCTGTGTTATCTGTGTGAAATTACAGCAAAAGCGGAGTTAGCATAACTGGTTTGTGATCGGTTATAATCATCAGCAGCTGTTTTATTTATACATTGCTTTTAACCAACCTAGGCATATGCGAAGTGCTGAACACGGCACAAATAAAAGCATTTACAAACATACTACAGCAGTTACAAGTAGTCACTAAAACTAAACGACTAGTTACTAAAAACAACTATGCTAGCTTGGTTCTAGGCTGCCAACTAGATTCAACTGAGCAGAAGTTTGAAAGGAGGACGGTGGTGAAGATGACTTCCATCTTGAAAAACCCTTCCCACCCACTGCATTCCACTGTGGAGACCATGGGCAGCTCCTTCAGAGGCAGACTGAGACATCCCAGACGTAAAACAGAACGCTACCGTAGGTCATTCATCCCCTCTGCTAGCCTAGTGAATTAGACCAAATTCTTGCTTTACAAGGTTTGGTCGAGTTATGCTCCATTGGAACCTCTGTGGCCCCAAGCAGCATTCCGGCTGGCCAATCACAGCTCTCTAATCACAGAGCTCTATCCACTTTGTGGGCCAATCAGGGCTCTGTCTTCATCTGGTGAGCGGGATGATGCAACTGAGTGGAACAAGATGGCGACAACTCGTTTGAAACGTCTTTTACATCAATTTTGGACTAATTGGAATTGGGCTTTATTAGAATCAGGAGCAGATGGATGTATTTAAGTATTTTATTTAGAAAAAATATGTATTTTTGCCTTCTTCAACAGCGGACTGCCTTGTTCACAGACATCCATTGCAGTGAGTATGTCATGTTGTTCATTGTCCAGTAGCATGCGGAGGTCGTTTGAAAGACAACGGTAGAACCCGCCCCACGACTGAGAACCTTAAATGGAGCATTGCCAGACTAAATAATAGATTTATTTAGCTTGGCTTGCCAGGCTACCTCTCTGCAGTGAGAGTGTATAACTCCTCCGTTTAACTGGTGCTATTATCCTGTTACACAGGAACATCAATGCAATACAGTGATCCTTCGTTTATCGCGGTAGATGCGTTCCAGACCTGGCCGCGATAGGTGAAAATCCGCGAAGTAGGGACACCATATTTACAGTACAGTGTCAGAACCCAAGTTCCCAGGCCAGCCTCTTCCAGCTAGCCGGCCTCCACTATGGACCACAACTCCCAGCATGCCCCTCGCGGGGATTCCCTCCACGTCGCACCTACGTCACAAACCGCAGCAATAAACGGAAGTCGCCTTTCCAGCTCACCACTCAGTCATCGTTTCTTCAGATTCATGATCAGAGTTTCCAACCTACCGATCAATCCCACGAAATATCAGCTCATAGTAAGTTATCTTACTTACTTCTGGAAAGCCCGGCATTTCCGTGTCATTTCGTTGACGCTCGAACGTTCGAGGGTTTCCTAGATTAAATCGTGAGCCGGCGTTTCACCGACGCTCTCACTTCCGCATCTGTGAAACCACGCTCCCTACAAGCTCAACTCCCGAATCCAGCCGACCTGTCTGACATACAGTACTATATTGAATTATCGTATGATCGGATTCTCTTTTTGTGGGTAAAACTCAAGAAAAATTTTTTTTTTACCTGGTTTTTTTAATAGTTTTATTACAAAAAGTGCATTTTATGATAAAATTGATAGAAAAAAAACAGGAATTTCTTGATATTTTGCATAGAAAAATACCGCCAATCGGTGAAAAAAACTGCAAATCGGCGAATTTCCCTTGAATAAGGTTCCAAAGAAAAAATCCGCGAAGTCGTGAATCCGCGATTAACGAACCGCGAAGTAGCGAGGGATCACTGTACTCAGCATGTGTTCAATACTAGTGCAACACCAGATGAACGTTAGTATGTCCGTGTCCGTATGCTGCATAGTTCTGGAAACACAAGTTTCCTTTTCATTTGTGGTTTTTAGTGGATGAAGGTTACAATAATGGCTTACTGCCTTTGTGTGTTTACCTGTAATCTTGTTATTATAATGTTCTTGCTTGTCTCTAAGTGTATGTGCTGCTGTAGCAAGTGCATTTCCCCACTGTGGGATTAATAAAGTCTATTCTATTCTAAAACACGAACGGCAACATCGTTTATTGTCTTAAGCCAGTTTTAGAAATGGCAACTGAAGAACCTTTTCTGATGTTCAGCGACAGAGCAGCCCACAGCCTCACCTCGGTTTCACGGTCAGGCTTGCAATTTATTTTCAGGACCTGCAGGTGCTGACCGGTCGACCGAAGTGTGCGAAGGAGGATCAAACAAACACAGAAACTAAAAAAATATATGATGGAGCTCCTCCATGCATCCTGTTAGCAGCAAATGGCTCTAAGGTGCACAAACATGTAGCTCAATCACTTTAGCTTCAACCTAGCGGTCGCTTGTGTTGGTTCAACAGATATTTCACTTCAGTCATGTTAATAAACATTTAATATCATTTCTCCATCATTTTCAAACAGATACACTTTTGGATCTGCGCTTTACTGGTTAAGTACAGAGATAGCAGATATTTAGCAAAGCATCCTTTTTCGATTTAGTTCGGCACCTCTCACCCCGATATAAACCGTTTGGTGACAAACATAAGCACGTCTCACTAAAAACGGTTAGCCAAGCGAAACATTTAAATGTCTTTTGTTTCACCGTTCTGTCACTGAGCAGAAATGGAGAGCAGTTGTCGGCCATTTAAACATGGTGTGGCTTGTTTTTTGTGATGAATAAATGTGTAGTTTGTGGGGTGTGTGTCTGTGTGTGTGTGTGCAAACTGCCAGAGGTAATGTCATGTTTTGCTTCAGGGCTGAGGACGAGCCTAGCATCGCTGGGAGCTGCCCTTTCTATTGGGTGGAGGTGTGAGGGCCTGGGGCCGAAGCATGGAGGGTGCCAGCCCTGCCTCCAACACAGAAACATGGGTCACACACTCACACACACACACGCCTATCAATCCTGGCCACAACACAGGGAATGCCTGCCCACCAGGCTGCCTGCTGAAGGGGGGGTAGGCTGCAGAGAACAAGGACAATCAATGCGCGCCTTGATGTCTTTCATGTTCTCTTATGTTATCTCTCAGCAGGAGCTCGCCGGCCGCTGCTGTTTGTGTGGGGCATGTACGTTGTCTGATGGTGCTGTGTAAAAGGTTGCTTTGGAGTACAAAGTCTGATCTAAAATGTGCATGCAGTTCCCTCTGATTTTTTTATCCCAAAACCCCGCTGGCAAGGCATGCCCTTTAGGGTGTTGCCACTTCACATTTAGCACGGCGGAACTGTTGAAAGATTCAAACACGCTGACAAAGAAGGGGAAATAACAACAGCAGCTGAATACATCAGCCACATTCACTCTTCCATCTTCACAAAGGACAGGAGAATTAGGACGGCACCAAAATTGATTTTGATTACAAAATGGACCTTTGTTTGTATGAAATCTGTAAAAGGAGACACATGAGCTGGAGACTACAGGTTGTGGGTAGAAGCTCAGGTGGAAAACAAAGCACAGCTGTTATCTATGGTGACTCACGTAACCCACACATTTTTTGTCTTAACCTTAAAAAGTCCCTCTGCAGCCCCAGCGGAGGCAGAGCAGGAAGAAAAGAGGTCCACCTTCTCCCTGATGGCACCAGAATGCCGGCATCTCTGGCTGGCAGTTGGCACCAGGCACACGGCGCCCACAGCTACTGCCTGTAATTTCAGATTTATGACCGTATGATAAATGAAAGCTTCTTTTTACCATCTGCGAGCCTTCGTTTCCCATCAGTGAAGTGGCCGCCGTGACACTGGGAGACTGATTTCTGATTTTAAATCTGGTGTTCAGATGAGAAGTCTAGTTTTGTTAGAACCGCCCATTCAACCAACACTATACTCTTGATGATCTTCAACAGGAAGTCACCTGAAATGGTTTTCCAACAGTCTTGAAGGACTACCTCTTGAAGCTAATCAAGAGAATGCCAAGAGTGCAAAGCGGTAATCAGAGCAAAGGGTGGCTTTTTACAAGAAAATTGAATATAAATCATGTTTTCAGTTACGTCACCTTTTTTGGTTAACTCGTTCACTGCCAATGATGACTGAAGTAGTCATTTTCATGTTTCTACTGTGTGGGCGTCGGACGAGCCCCCGCACCGTGAGAACAAACATCTCAGCTCTAAAGCCGATCTTCATCCGCGTACGTCACACGTCACATGATCAGGAAGCAGAACATCCATGTGTTAGGAGATCGTTTTGGGCCGCTGCTGTAAAAAAAGTGAGGAGCGAACCAGAAAAGCTTCTGCCGATCCCAATTCAACAAGGGATTATGACAGAACGGATAACGCTCGAAATGCGCGGATTCTTCCTGATGTAAGAGGT